ATATTGGTATTTATTAAATTTAAGTATAATTAATAACTTTTTTATTTCATTATAGGTCTGTAGCAGACAGATTCAACATCTCAAAATCTACCCTGTATAGCTATCTGAATAAAGTTTGTACTGAACTCGTAAAAATGGCAAGTGATGTTATAAAATGGCCAAAATTGGAAGAATATGCCTATTTAACCAGAAAATTTAAAAATATAGCTTGCTTCCCAGGTATAATTGGGGCAATTGATGGGTGCCATATTCCTATTAAAGCTCCAAGTGAAGCAGCGGAAAAATATGTAAACTGGAAGAATTTTCATTCTGTAATTTTGCAGGCAGTCTGCAACCATAACTTAGTTTTTACAGACTGTTATTATGGCTTCCCTGATTCTGTTCATGATGCCAGAGTTTTCAGAAATTCTGAAGTGATTCAGAAACTTAATGATTCTTCCTTATCAGATTATCACATTGTGGGAGATGCTACCTACCCACTTGTGGTGTCATTGATGGTACCATTTAAAAATAATGGTCACCTAACTGCTCAAATGCATACATATAATAATAAGCTGTCAAAAAGCAGAATTGTTATTGAGAGGAGCTTTGCATTATTAAAAGGAAGATTTAGATGGTTAAAAAATTTTGATGCAAATAAAACATCGATGCTGACTCTCTACATATTATCAGCCTGTGTACTTCATAACATCTGTTTAATGGCAGGGGATGATTTTGACGAATTTGACAGTTAATTGTGATGATGAAACTCTTGAAACTGAATCATCTAATATACAATATAACAGTGCTGCTCAAAGAAAAAGACAACATATTTCTGATAGTTTCTAAGCTATCAGAAATCATGTTTGATAATTACAGTATTTCTGTACAATGTAATATCTGTTTAGAAAATTATTCTTTGTTATGTTATTTCACAGAAAAATAAAGTTTTCATGTTGAGTTTACAAACGATGATTTCAATATTTTAGTGATTTATTTATAATTAATTTAACCACTGTAAAGCAACTTAAATCAATATTTTATTTACAAAATATAATTGTTTTGCAATTTATCAATTAAACGTTGTAATTTTTCTAATAATAAGTTTTTCATTTGCATATTTTCTTTGTGGCGTTTTTCAACACTAAGTCTGCAATAATTCCTAAATAGGTAATAGGACAGTAATTCCTAAACCATTCAGGTTCTTCTTCTTTTCTGCACTTTTTGTTTGCAGATGCTTTTGGTGACGGAGTTTCCTGAGTTGTATTAATATTTCCATTTTCTGTTATTGCAACAGAATTATTGAATCCAGAAGATGAAGTAGCAAATGAAACAGGCTGTAGAGCTGGATCCTTTTCATGATCTGTGGTCGATCAAAACTTGGCAGCTCCATCGTGATAACGCATCCGCCCATTCTGCACATCTGATTCGGGCTTTCGTCACGCTCCGTACTCTCCCGACATGGCTTCGTGTGACTTTTGGCTATTTCCCAAGCTGAAAATGCCACTAAAAGGAACCCGAATTTAGTTGAGAGAAGACATCGTGCAAAATCCGACGGACCGGCTGATGGCCAATCCAAAAGATGCGTTCCAGCAGTGTTTCCAGCAATGGCAGGAGCGCTGGGAGAAGTGTATACATTACCAAGGAGACTACTTTGAAGGGGATTAGGGTTTTGTACCTCAAAGTCAATAAATTTATTTTTGCCGACCAAAGGTCCGATACTTTTTGAACAGACCTTGTTTATGGTCAAAAGAAATCAACATGACATCCTTTAAAGTTTACAAACAGGGCAAAATGAGTAATTGTTTGCCAGACTGCCAGCAACAAAACATCATTTTGAAAGTTAGCAACAATGTCCATATGTAATGCTGGCAAATGAACTACTGGAAGAGTTGTGTAAATATGCCAGCATCTTGTATATAAGTCAAGAAAACCTGACCCATCACTAACTCTTGCACACAAGGGGTACGCTCATTAAGTCGAACGAGTTAAACAAGAATGACATCATCGTTATTCTTGTTTCATTAGATTTTCCGAACAATTTGTTTAGAAAATGGCCATTTCAAAATCTGAAGTTTTAAACATTGTTACTGCGATTGTGTCTGAAGTATTTTTTTCGGATGATTCTGAAGACGAGATCAAAAGTTATGTCATTCTAGAAACTTCAAAAAGGAGAAAAAGGAGACTGCATATAAAAGGATATGTATAAAGTGTTGTTCCTTCATATTTAAGCGATGACTTCCAATGTCATTTTAGAATGAAGAGATGCACTTTCGAAATTCTTTTGGAAAAATTAAAACCTAAATTAATCAATTCTTTCGGAAGACCTTGTTTAGATGCAAACAAGCAAATTTTGTCGGTAATTTGGCTTCTAGCAAATCAGGAATCATTCAGGTAAAATAAACTACTTAATAAAGTTTAAAGCTAAATACTGTATTTAAATTTATTAAATAATTAGATAAGCCAATAGTTAAGTGATAACATAATTCATTGTTACTAATTATGTATGAAATTTGCCAATATTAAACATTTACAAATAAAAATAAATTTATAATAATTTTCTTAAAGAAATTCCTCGAGTCTGATAAACTTAATGAAGTTAATACAAATAATTTGTATGGTAATATTGGTATTTATTAAATTTAAGTATAATTAATAACTTTTTTATTTCATTATAGGTCTGTAGCAGACAGATTCAACATCTCAAAATCTACCCTGTATAGCTATCTGAATAAAGTTTGTACTGAACTCGTAAAAATGGCAAGTGATGTTATAAAATGGGCAAAATTGGAAGAATATGCCTATTTAACCAGAAAAATTAAAATTATAGCTGGCTTCCCAGGTATAATTGGGGCAATTGATGGGTGCCATATTCGTATTAAAGCTCCAAGTGAAGCACCAGAAAAATATGTAAACCGGAAGAATTTTCATTCTGTAATTTTGCAGGCAGTCTGCAACCATAACTTAGTTTTTACAGACTGTTATTGTGGCTTCCATGGTTCTGTTCATGATGCCAGAGTTTTCAGAAATTCTGAAGTGATTCAGAAACTTAATAATTCTTCCTTATCAGATTATAACATTGTGGGAGATGCTGCCTACCCACTTATGGTTATGGTGTCATTGATGGTACCATTTAAAAATGATGGTCATCTAACTGCTTAAATGCATACATATAATAATAAGCTGTCAAAAAGCAGAATTGTTATTGAGAGGGGCTTTGCATTATTAAAAGGAAGATTTCGACAGTTAAAATATTTTGATGCAAATAAAACATCAATGTTGCCTGTGTACTTCATAACATCTGTTTATGGCAGGGAATGATTTTGATGAATTTGACACAGTTAATTGTGATGATAAAACTCTTGAAATTAAATCATCTAATATACAATATAACAGTGCTGCTCAAAGAAAAAGACAGCTTAGAAACTATCAGAAATATGTTATTAGAAATCATGTTTGATAATTACAGTATTTCTGTACAATGTAATATCTGTTTAGAAAATTAATCTTTGTCATGTCATTTCATAGAAAAATAAAAGTTTTCATGTTGAGTTCACAAATGATGATTTCAATATTTTAGTGATTTATTTACAATTAATTTAAAAGCAACTTAAAACACAAACTATAAATCAATATTTTATTTACAAAATATAACTGTTTTACAATTTATCGATTAACTGTTGTAATTTTTCTAATAATAATTTTTTTATTTGCATATTTTCTTCGTGGCGTTTTTCGACAGTAAGTCTGTAATTCTTAAACCATTCGGGTTCTTGTTCTTTTTTGCATTTTTTGTTTGCAGATGCTTTATGTGATGAAGTTTCCTGAGTTGTATTATTTCCATTTTCTGTTACGGCAACAGAATTATTGAACCCGGAAGAACTAGCAAACGAAACAGGCTGTACCGCTGGATCCTTTTCAAATATTTCATCCAATTCAGCCATGTAACAGCACTTCCTCCTGCTCGACCCACTTTTATTATTATTATCTTTTATTATTTTATAATTATTTTTTACGGGCAAAAACGT